TGGCCTTCTCAGAAGGCGTGGAAGTACCCCAGCCTTATGAGAAGTTGCCTAAATCTCCCCCGAATGCAAACAACCACTTCTCAGGACGCGCCAAGGTTTTTGAGAAATCCCGCGGGTTTCCGAGAAGGCCTTCTACTTCTCATTTCCACCCCTTCGCTCGCTGCCGAACAACATTCGCAAAATAAGATGGCGCCAGCAACCCACGGCGTTGGCTACAGCACTGCATTTGCATGGAACGCGAGCGTTCCAGCAGCCCCAAGGCGCTGCGTCCAGTTTGCACCGCTGCCTTCGTATGGAGCGCGCCCCAAGCACGAACCCGCTTCCAGTATGGGCCCGACCATAAGCAAAAACCTTCCACCAAAACAAACAACCCTGATATCCCAGCGCGTCCATTGATTTTTTGTGTGGGAGCGTCGCGTTGCCCATCGCAAAACCGTCGAAGCCCAAGAACCTCAGGGAAACCTCGAGGCAAGCAGGTTGTTTCTTGGCACGGGCCCCAACTGCACAGCCCCTTCCGAAAGAAACTTGCAACATATGCCCCTAACTGTAGTTTGGGTGCGTCGAAAAGGGGGCCAGGGGAAGGGGAGGGGCAACGCTTCACGGTCCGCGGCAAATCTGCGGACGCGTGGGAGGCAAGGGGCGCGCGAACGGAAAAGAGGGGGGCATAACGTTCAAGAGACATCATGGCACGGGCCACGATACCTAAACCCTCCACGGCATCACCCCCCTTCGACGCCTGGCTCCGTTTCGCGCGATGCCTGTGGCGGCCGTTCGGGACGACCTGGGAGCCCCCACGGAGCTCTCGACGAGTCGCAGCTGCTGGAAGACATCCCTCCACCCCTCCCCTTTTCGGCCGCCCTTGACCTCCGACGGCGATGCACCTCCCTGGCCCTCACCCACTTGAAGACGCCCGGGACGGACCGCCCAGCAGCGTGAAGGGCGGCGGGAGTAGGGGTGCGCCGTGGGTAGAAGCGAGAAAAAAACACACAAAGAAATGTTACACAGAGGGTTTTGGCACCACCAACGGTGCAACGCATGTGCACACATGCGACAGGATCCCTGGCGCACGGCCGCGCTCTAGGACGCAGTTGACATGTATGGTGTGGCAAGGCTGTCGGCGTCGACAAGACCCCAAGATCCGGTACCAACAAACATTCCATGGTGGTTTGCCACAGCCAAACCACCGTGCAACGTCAATTTGCTCATTCGTTGACAGGAGCACGCGTCGCGGCAGCAGAACGCAGTAGCGCGCGCGGGCATGCAGGGCCAGCGATGTGGCTGGCCAGCTACCAGCGCGATTTCGGCAGAGGAGCCGAAATCCACGCAGGATCGACTTGGGCGTGGTATCCGGCGCAGCTGCATCGCACTGCAAGGCGCCGCGGCCTTGCGATTGTAGCGCCAGGCCCCGTGCGTTCCTCGAGTTTGGAAAACAAGCTCGACAGAAAGGAATCGCGCGTGCTCTTGTGGGGGCGGCGAACACGATCGTACACAAAAGGAAATGCCTTTGTGTGCCCCCCGCGTTGCCAATATCACCAGACCGCACACAAAGGAATTACACGAGACTTCGTGGCACACAAAGGAATTACAGCAACGCCCTTTGGGTTGCGCTCTTCGCGCGCGGTGACAGCTCCGAGCTGTGACGGAAGGGAGGGCGGGACAAGGCAAAGCAGGGGAGAGGAAAAAGAAGAGGAAGGCGAGAAAGATGCGAAGGAAGCAACGGAAGAAAACCAGGATGCGCGCAAGTGAAGCTAACACTGCGCGCCGAGACAGTTGTTCGTTCGTTCGGTTGGCCGCGTGGCAGATAAATAGAAAAGAATTGTTTGCTGCCAATGGAAGGGACTTCTTGGGAATGGGACTCGCGCTCTCTTCCCAACCCCCGTTCCCACACCCCGTTGCGAGCGCGCGACGATTTGTTCTGGCCCGCGGGCAGAGGACTGCCAGTTGTTGGTGCGCGGCCTTTTCCACCCCTCACGCGTTCCGAACACATGCGACCAGCTAAACGCACTTGCCACGCAAACCGCCAGTTCCAAAGACCGACGCCACACCGATCCCCGCATCCGTGCCAGGCACCCTCTCCACGACGCCCCCTTCCGGCGTAAAACCAACACAACGGGTTTATGTGTTTGTTCCTGTTCTGACTGGGGGGGTCCAGGCGAGAAGGCGTCCAGGACCCAGCGAGAACCTTCCCACCCTCTCGCGTTTCGACGGCGAGGCGACGCCCACACGACAGGCTCGGCGTTCGACACGACACCGCGTGGATCGCAGAACCTCGAGCGAACGCGGCTCCCCGACAGCGCCGACCGCTTGATTATACTCGACGCGGGCCGCCCTGGCCGCCCAGAACCCGAGGGACGGCGAGAGCAGAGGCGCGCCCGGGAGGCTCGAGGCGGATGGCCCTCTTGGACGCCCACGACCAAGGAGGAGGACGAGGAGGAGGAGGAACAGGAAAAAAGGAAAAGGAGGAGGAGGAGGAATAGGAGGAATAGGGGGAGGAGGAGGAGGAGGAGGAGGAGGAGGAGGAGGACGAGGAGGAGGAGGAGGAGGAGAAGGAGGAGGAGCACAGCGTACATGAAGGATCTGTCACGCGCGGCCGGTCAGTCTACAGAAGATATGCAAGCCCTCGGATAGGGCGCTGAGAGCCGGCGGAAACCCATGTGAGTGAACCTTTTGCACGGGAAGTCCCCCGCCGCGAAGGCGGAGTACAGCAGGACTTGCGCACAGAACGCAGACATAACACCCATCAGTTGCACGACCTCCACTGCCACCAAACAGTTGTGAAGTAGCTCATCCACGTCGGGTCCAGGAGGATACCCCAACCCCCCACACCATCACGCGGAGAAGCTCTTCTTCATCGTCCTCGACAATAAAAAGCTCAATCTTGGAGTAGCCCAAAGGTGATGCACAAAGCGGAACTGTCTGCGTGCCGTCTCGCGTGACGCTGCGCCCGCGAAATGCCGATGGAGCCTTCGAGTTGCGGGGGGTATCCGCGATGAGAAAATGGAGGAATACACCATTGAGGCGATGGCATCGCCTTCCGAACTTGCACACACGATCATCAGCAGCGACGGCCAGCAAGGCACGGCTGGCAGATGGATGAGGCCGTGCGCAGGAGGAAGCCCTGACGCCAGAGAGCTTTAGAATGAAGTCTATCTCGTCAACCTTGTTCTGAAGTCCATCCACCATCGTGAATGTGTTAGCCAATTGCGCCGCGAATTTGTCCAAAGCAGCAAGGATAGGGGCGCTCGATTTCTGGATCAAGGCAGGCACGATCTTGCCCGCCACAGCTGATGAGCCCGACGCGATCATCTGCCCGAAAGACTCCTTTACTTTCTGGCAGTGTATGCCAATGCGTTCAATAAGCTGCTGCTCCCGCGCAGCATCCAAACCACAGGTAGCAGACGTAAGTTCCTCATCGAATGAAAATGTAAGCTCTCGAATATGAACGCCCGTATAGTAGCGAGCCCCCAGTTGAGCAGACGCGTCCTGGACACCAGATATACCATCTTCCAAAACAGCACATACTGAAGCAACATAAGAGCTATGATCATTCAAAGACTCTGATACGCAGACAACTGAGAATCATACATGGTTAATGATTGCTGCACAGGAGACGTCAACCAAATACGTAGCACCCCGCAAATGCGGGTAAGAGAGGGGGGGCGGCGGGAACGTCGGCAGTCTGCGAGGATTTGAAGAAGCCCACCGCAGGCGAACACTTTTTCAAACTATACAGCGAGCCCGCCGCAGGCGCAAATTTTTTGTTAAAACAGGATGGGTCGCAGGATGAGTCGCAGGTGGGTCGCGGGTGGGTCGCAAGTGGGTCGCGGGTGGGTCGACGGTGGGTCGCGGGTGGGTCGCGGGTGGGTCGCGGGCGGGTCGCGAGCGGGTCGCGGGTTGGGTCGAGGGTGGGTCGCGAGCGGGTCGCGGGGTGGGTCGCGGGTGGGTCGCGAGGCGGGTCGCGTGTGGGTCGCGGGCCAGGTCGCGGCGGGGACGATAACGACGACGACGACAACAATCACAACAACAACAACAACAACAACAACAACAACAGCAACAACAACAAGCAGAATAGCAGAATCCTCACCACGGATGCGCACTTCAGCCACGCACCCAGGGACAATGAATGACCGTTCGGCCCCCTCACTCTGATTGTGCAGGATTGAAGCACTGGTGACGATCTGCAAAGAGTCTGGCAATAACCACAGGGCCGACACACCGTTCGGGATATGCCACAGCCAGCTGTGTTTCTAAATCACCAAGGAAACTAGCGACCCACGGATCGGTAACGTGACGAAGGATTTGAAAGGGATTGTCTGGCTGTCGCAACCGACGTCGAATAGGCGAAGACAGTATAAACCGTTGCGAATGCGACGCTCAACCCTCTGAAACGCCCATCAGAAAAACCAAAAATCAACCGCAGCGCCTTGCCAGATAGTACAGAGATAGAACCAGAAACATCAAATGTCGAAGCCATCCGTTCAACACGCAGAGGGAAACTGCGGGGTGACAAAAAACAAACAATCCCGTCTTGAGCCAAAAATGGCTACGGATGAGGAGTGTGAGTGTGCGAGAGGCGCTCCCCAAAGCCGATCCCTGACTGCCCCATGAGAACGAAAGCTGGAAGCTCAGTGTGCAGGAACCTTATCCTTGCCACCGAGGTGAGACAGGAGGCGGAGGGAGAGGGCATGCAAGGTCTGGGGATCTCTGGAGCCACCAGGGTCGAACGTCTTAGCCCACCCGTTGTCCCAGCGGATCACCCTGCCCCTCGCACTACGAGTGGAAGTCTTACTGCTACGGCTGAGGAGGAGGAGGAGGAAGAGGAGGAGGAGGAGGAGGAGGAGAAGGAAAAGGAGGAGGAGGAGGAGGAGAAGGAGGAGGAGGAGGAGGAGGAGGAGGAGAAGGGGGGGGGAGGGGGAGTGGGAGGGGGGGAGGACGCCCCCCCGGCCGGCCGCTCGGCGCGAGGGACGGCGAGAGCAGGGGCGCCGCCGGCGGGGGGGCTCCCAGGTCCAGACGTGGAGCCTGCCGCGCCCGTTGGCGCCCAGCTGGCCCTCCTGAGCGGCGGCGGCGGACGACGACGACGGACGACGACGACGACGACTAGACAACGACGACGACAATGGCGACGACAGCGACGGCGGTGGCGGCGGCGACGGCGACGGCGGCGACGGCGACGGCAACGGCGGCGGTGGCGGCGGCGACGGCGACGGCGACGGCAACGGCGGCGGCGGCGGCAGCGACGACGACGACGACGACGACGACGACGACGGCGGCGGCGACGGCGGCGGCGGCGACAGCGACAGCGACAGCGGCGGCGGCGACGGCGGCGGCGGCCGCGGCGACGGCGACGGCGACGGCAACGGTGGCGGGCGACGGCAATGGCGCCGGCGACGGCGGCGGCGGTGGACCCAGCGGCGGAGGCGGCGAGGACGGCGGCCACCACGACCAGGGCGGGGTGAGGCAGGAGGTGGGAGGAGGACGGAGCAGGAGGACAAGAATCGGCAGAAGCATAAACGTTCGGGAGCTCTTGGGTCCGCCGCCCAAGGGGGGTCCAACGTCGACCCAAGAAATCCGATCGGACATCCGAAAGTTGTTGCTTAGCTCATGCCGACTTCGCCGAAACCACCACCACGACCATGGCGAGGCGAGGAAGGAGGAAAGGGAGCAAGCTGGAGAAGGAGATGGAGGAAGGAGGGTTAGTAAAGGAGCCCAGGGACACATAAATGAATACAAGCAAATCCAAGGATTCCATATGTTGTTGCACATGTTCGCAGATTTTCCAATGCTTTCATGGGAATCAACGATTAAGTGTGTCTGTGTGTTTGCCGCTCCTGAATTAGATCAGACACGCCTGCAGTGCAAGTCGAAGCAAGCAATTGAAGAGACAGCTGGACGACATGCCAGCAACTGGGAAGTTCGGACGAGCCTCTAGGATGCCAGGGATGCCTCCCACGACGAGCAAGGCGAGGAGGGCGGGCGACTCGCAGGCTGGAACCTCTGGCCAGAGGTCTCCGCGAGAAGTGCGAACGCCGGGTCAGAGGGAACACCCCGCACAATCGCGGGCTGGAGACGTTGCGCCGATCGCTCGGCGAGGCCCCCACGGAGGCATCCCAGGAGCAGTCCGCATCGAACCAAATCGGATCGCATCGGAGCTCGCATCGGACCGGGCTGCATCGGCCACGGAGTCGGAATCGAACAAGATCGTCCGCGCGAGGAGGCACGGCGGCGACGTGCGATGCGAGCGCCGACTCGGACCGCTGGGAGATCGGAATCGGAGCGGATCGGGCCGTGCAGAAGCGATGTCGAAGCTAGACGAGCGCGACTCGCAAGGCCACTCCTCGCAGCTGGTCTGGATCCGCCGCGCAGGGATTTACGATACATCACATCGAAGCAAACATGCGAGTCTGGGACGCTCGCGAGAAGGCACTTTGCGGGTGGTGGAACGCGCTCTGTGAGAATCGGACCGATCGGAGCAAAACCACCCTGGGGGTTGGAGGCGGCCGGGGGATCTGAACCGGGTGGGGCCCCAGGAAGTCGGCCAAGAGGAGGCTATGAGGCCAAAGCCGCTCAAAAGTGGGTCCCCCGCCCCCTCTCGGGGTCCATTTGGTGCAGTTTTCCACCCCGCATCCGTTTTTCGCTGTCCCGGGGCCTGACAACACCCCCTGGTGACCAATAACAAGAAACTTTCCGAACACAGAACCTTGAACCTGCCCGCCCTCCCTGCAAGAACCAGCACTGGGCCACCTCAGAGCCCCGGACGGTTCCCATCCAGGGGGGCGTGTCGGGGTGACCTTTTTGCTGCCATCTGCCCTGATTCGGGGGTTGCTAAAGGTGTCCCTGGCCCAAGGCGCCCCCAGATTTTCGTTCGATGTTGTAGCCCCTGGGGTTCTCTGGGCCTCTTGACGGGTGCTCTCGAGGCCGTGGGGGGCCTCTTTGGAAATCCTGGAGGCACCTTGGACCGAGAGCACCTTTCGCACAGCAACACCCGGCTGACGGCCACCGCTGTCGCGCCGCGGCTCCCATCTGGCGGCACGCCCTGCCTCGTCGCAGCCTTGCTCTCGCCTCATCATCCCGCTCCGCGTCGCCCAGACTGCATTCAACTCCACCGTCCCTTTCGTCGCTCTCCCCTCCTGACCCTCCTTCACCACCTCCTCCTCAGAATCCGTCATCCTTCTCATCCATCCCTTTTTCTGAAAATACCCTGTCTCTGTTGCGCACCCAGACGCGTGGATAAGGAGAGCCGGGCGTTTCGACGGAGACTTCTTCACCGTGATCATGAAGCTGGAAACTTGCAACGACTACACGGACGGAGGGGTGCGCTCTCAAAACGGGGCCCTCACCCCATCGCTCAGTGCCACGCACACCGTCTTTGAAAACACGCAACAGTCACCGGGATGGACAGACAGACGGACAGACAGAAGCCATACGCCCAAGGCGCGTCGGCAAACGCACATTCATACACTACACACACCGCTCTCTCAGTCTATGTCTCCAAACAAAAAGAACTTGAACAAAATCCTGCAATCTGTCTCCTTCCCCGCATGCCCGGTGCGCATGTGGCCCCAAGAATTTCGCCCACTCCAGCCGCGGCGCCCCCACCTTCCTCACGAAGGCGTCCGTGGCCGGCGTCGAAGTCCCAGGGATGAAAACAGAATCGCGACGAGGGTATCCTGCTGATCCACGCACTGCCTTGCCATATAAAGCGAGCTGGTGCTTCAGCAGAATGGCCGTCAACGGGGGGTGGCCCGTGCGTGCTCGTATCAAGTCGTTCGACACGCGTGAAATCATCGGGTGTCTGACGCCGCACAAAGTCCTTAGCATTCTGCAGTGCGCCCCGTCTAGTCTCCTTTTCTCCACAGCGTTCAGAACGACAGAGCACAAGCTGTACAATAGCTTCGAAATGATGACGGCGTTGAAAAGTTCGACCTTCCTTGCCTCGCCGATATTCGAGTGGCCCCACAACTGCTTCAGCTTGCGGAAACCGGCGAACGCCATCCCAAGCCTCCCGGTCAACTCGCCGCCCGCTTTCCCGTCGTTGTCCAAGGTGGTTCCGAGGTGCGATAAGGTGTCCGTGGGTGCGATGTCCTCGCCCTGTGGCGCCCTGATTTTTCCTCGGCACCGGATTCTGAGAAGCTGCAACTTGCCCCAATGCATCTCCAGCCCCGTTGTGCCAGCTGCAATTTGGACCACGTTGAGCCACTTTTCCATGTCGCCAGTGGTCCTCGTCATCAGCAGCGCGTCGCCCGCGTACACCAACTGACCGAATCTGCGTGCGTCGCTTTCCCCCAGCTCGACCTCTGCGCCCCTCATGATTACTGTCATCACCATGACAAATAAGAAAAGCGACAAAGGACAACCTTGCGATATTCCAGATGTTTGGCTGCGCTCGGCCGAAGTAACTCCGTTCTCTCTGACCTGAAACGTTCGTCCCGCGCAGACGTCGGCAATGGCGTTCCTCACGTGCTCTGGCAGCCCGAATCTCTCCAAGGCGGTCATCATGGCCTCTATATATTCACAGAGTCGAACGCTTGCTTCCAGTCCAGGGCGAGGGCGCGCGAGTTCCCATGGCGCGAAGCCCGCGCGGGCTCGACGTGGCGCCTCAGGATGCAGATCGCGTCTCGCGTGCTCCTCCCAGTGCGGAATCCGAACTGAAACTTGGACAAGCGGCCCTCTGCTCCACCGTCCACCAGACGCTGCTTGACGAGGGCCGCGAAGATTTTGTACCCGAGGCTCAACAACCTTATGGGCCGGTAGTTCTCTGGCAATTCAGCGTTGCCCTTCTTGTGGATTGCGGCCACCATTGCCTTGCGCCAGCCTCTCGGCGTCTGTTTGCGCAACCAACATGCGTTGGAGAACTCTGCGATGTAGGCTAAACAGTCTGTACTCCGGGCCAAAGCTTTCCAGCATTCAGCCGGGATACCATCTTCGCAAGCTGCCCTGTTGTTCCTCAACCTGCCGATGATTTGTCGCACCTCGTCCGCCGTGAACGCGGCTTCGTTCACCAGGAGCTGCGGCCCAAGCAGCGGGGCATCGACGGCGACAGCCGGCCGGACTCGCCATTGAACTCTCTCCAGGTACTCGGCCATCGTGTCCGCTTTCTCGCTGCTCCTGGTGAGCTCCTCGTCGACGTTTCGCAAGCTGGACTGCGTTGGCTTTCTCGGCTTTCTGAGGGCTTCGAGATCATCCCACTCCCCCGTCCGCATGCGATCCTTTAGCCATGCCGTCTGGTCGGTCTTGGCGGACCTCCTCACCAACTTGCGATATTCGTTCTGCCTCTTCGCATCTCCGGCAAGTCTTGCCTCGGCACGCCGGTCGATTCGGTCCAGCGTGCTCCGGGTGATCCAAGGCCTCCTGATGGTCGCCGCCTTGTCTGGGATGGCGCGTTCGCTTGCTGTGGAAGCTTCGATCATCGAGCGCCAAGTTTCCTCTGGAGCGCTGTCGCGCGCCTGCCCCCGGACGCGCTCGAGGAAAGAATGTGTGAATGAACCTGCCGCGGCCGGTGTTTTTAGACCTTTCCTGTTTTTCCTCGGCGCCTTGCGTTGGACGAACATGTCACAGTCGACGCAGATATCACAGGTCACGAGAAAGTGGTTCGTTTGGAGACCTGCTGCCCTGTTGCTCCTCACATTCTGAACGCTCTCTTGCATTGCGGACTCTGCCAGCGCCATATCGAGCATGCTGTGGGCGTCTTCTGCGACGGCGCTCATGTGGGCCACCCGGGCCCCAACGAAAGTAGTTTTGGTTTCTGGCGCTCCCGCCTTCAGGACGTTAGCAGCCACAAGCTCGCGTTCCACGTAAAACTGCATCAACAGGTCGCGGTTGGATATCTCACCTTTCTTGATGGCTTCTCTGCCCCAGCCGTGTTCACATAGAACATCGTCTTCTCCAGGGCGTCGCTTTCCCACGCGTGCGTTGCAATTTCCCAATAAAACCTTAGGCCCGTTCGTCGAACACTTGTCGTACACGTTTACGAGGTTTTCGTTTTCTGATATAAAAAAGCTTATCGCCAGTCAGCTTCTCATTGTGAGGGGCTTACGCCGTCACAATGCCCACCGTACAATTTCTCGCCTGCATCTTCAAGCGTGCAGTCATCCCCGCGTGCTGCAAGAAGCCACGGATGTTATGCTTGGCCCACGCTGCCACCACGAAGCCAACTCCAGCTCTCTCTGGTCCACTCCCAGACAAGATCACGATTAAACCTTTTTTCCGAATAACTGTCAGAGCATTGCTTCCACGTCTCTTGAAAGGCATAATACATCCAATTTGTAGCGTTCCATGTGCGCCTGTATGCAAATTAATTGTTCATCGGTCAGGCCCTGAACATTCCACGTTCCAGTTCGTACTGGCTGCCTGCGGACGTCCTCATATTGCCCTCTCCGATGTACCGCTCCATCATCTCTGTGCCGATCGCGGGGTGAAACTTTGTTGCCGACACGCCCTGGGCCCCCTCAGTGGGGGGGCTTCCCCTTGCCCCAGCCCTTCTGGCCCCCATCTTTCATGTTCTCGAGGCGCTCCGTGGCCTTCGCGACTAGCTCAACAAAGTCCCTGGCCGACGTGAAATCCTTCCACGTCTTCCAGTCTCCCGACAGCCACTTGATATTGCAGGCGCTGTTCTCCACCTGGGCCTCCATCACCGTCGTGCCCCACACTGTGAGGCTCAGATCGTTTTCGTCCACCTTGATCGCCCTCTTGTTGAAATCCCAACCGGCGAACATTTTCTTCACACCGAAAAAAATGAGGGGAATGCGCTCATGTAAAGGACGATCCGGAGCCCCCCACACAGGAATCCCCTTGAACTTCAACCTCTGGCTCCTGAGAATGCCGATCGCTCCTTGCATGGTTGGGCCGGTATCCCACTTTGCAAAAACGATGCCGTTGAAACCCTCCCCTTGTAGAATACCTCGGTCGGCTCGGGTACTCCCACGTTCTTTAGCTGAGAACTTATCCTCTCAGACGCTTCCTGGAAGTTCACCGCCTCCTGGAAGCCCCCCATGACGGCTATTTGCTTAGACCCCTTCTCCCCCGTCAGCTGACCGATGCTCTTCTTCATATCCTCGAACTTCTTATTCATGTCCTCCTTGACGATCTCTTCCACCTCATCCCTCATCATCTCCTTGACCTCCTCCTTCGTCACCACCTTGCCCTTGAGCGTTGTCAACTCGTCACCAACGGCTGTTGCTGCGACCGTGGCCTCGAATGCTTTCTGCTTTGCCGCATTCGCCTCAAACTTCGCCTCCTGGATAGCTGCACCGTTCTTTTTCATCAGGCCTTTTATCTCCTTCGTGTCGCCGATCATCGTCCTCATCATCTCTTCCAATCCCAGTGTCTTCTCCCCCGCCTCCTCCTCCTCCTCGTCGCCATCCATCTTGTTTAAACGCGACTCGTGTCTTGGAAACTTACGTTCGCCTCCGACGGGGGTGCCGATGCCGTGCTTCTTAGCCTTCGTGTTCTCCATCGTCTCCGCCATTGCAGGCGGCTCGGAAGTCGGATTAATCCAGGGGGCTGGATTAATCCAGGGCGGCTGGCGTAGGTGGATTGGCTGGCGTAGATGGATTGGCTGGCGTAGATTGGCGGCTTGAGCCAAAATGGCTACGGTCGCCTGAGCGCACCCCGCTTCACCCGAACAAGGACGGAGGGAGACTCCTTTTCGAGATGGAGAGAATGCCTGAGCGCCGCAAGCATTCGCCTTGAATGCCTGCACTAACTGCACAGATGGATGGCGGCTCCCCCTCAAAACGTGGCTCTCGCTGAAGACTCCCCAACACAGAACGGCCAGAAGGTTACACACATGTACTGTAACAGCTGCAGGGATGGAGGGCAGCTTCCTGTTCAAAGCAGGGCCGTCGCGTCAGACTTCCCCAAACGTAGCCACCAGAAGGGTTCATGAAACACGGGCTCTCGGCTGAACGGCAGGCACATCGAGTCCTCGTCTTTCAAGGAGGCGTTGGTGCGGTGAAAACAAGTGACTTCTGGAGAGAGAACTCGGGCGGGATAGTCTATGCATCGTTAATGCATCTTGAGTTTACCCTGGTATTCCTGCTCATCCTCACCCGACCTTACTTCTTCGTCCTGGCCCTCAACCGGGTCAGCATCGTCCTCGTCCTCGTCCTCGTCGTCGAGGTCGACATCGTCCTCCCTCTCCTCCTCCTCGTCCACCTTCTCAATCCTGACTCCCCACTCCTCACCTCTCACTTATCCTCCTCCTCCTCACACATAAATCCCCAACCCTCATTCCTGACTCCTCCTGCTCTTCCCCAACCTCGTTATTCTTCCTCTTCCCTGCGGCGTCCTTAGACACGAAGTCGTGACCGTCAGGCAGGCCAATGATGTCCAAATCCTCAGGCAAGGCGGGGAGGGGGCGACGAACAGACGTGCGCACTCCGGCACGTGCGTCAACACCTGCGCGCAGGCGCCCTTTTCCTGGGAGGACGGAGCGGCCGAAGCGCCAGCGCAGCACTTTGAGGACTGCTGCGAGAAGGCCCATACAGTCAAGGTCTTGCCACACTTGTTCGTCGGCGGCGGGGCAGAGTTGGCTGCACCAGCGAAAGAGCTAGACGTGGGCGCCGAAAATCGAATTGGCCAGCGTGCAGGAGGGGAAAGTCTTACCACACAGTCGACGCACGGACAGACTCACAGGAGTCAACAGCACGAGCCCCTGCGCCGAAGATGCCACGAGCGAAGGAAGCTGAGGCTGCCTCTTCAAAGCTGAATGTGCTCGTAACCTCCATGCAAGCTTAGAGCGGCGTGCAGCAGGGAACGAGACCTCCTCCTCCTCCTCCTCCTCCTCCTCCTCCTCCTCCTCCTCCTCCTCCTGTAGCGGCCTCCTAGATGAGGTCCGAGTAGATAGGGTCGGAGGATCGCGCCGCATCACCGATCCATCGCCGATGCATTGGCGATGCATCAACGAAGCGTCGGCGACGTCGGCGGTGCCTCCGCGACGCCGGCGTGGAGAATATCGGGCTCCACATCGAGCCGCATCGGCGATGCATCGGCGATGCGGCGCGATCCTCCGACCCCATCTGCTCGGACCCCATCTGGGAGGCCTGGATCCTCATCCTCCTCCTCATCCTTACCCTCTCCTGCCCGTGACAGCCTCACGCTCTTCCGCCTCTGGCTCACCCCTTCCTCATGTGGCTCCCGACGGCCTGCCCGCTCACGCCCTGCTCCTTCCCACGCCGCCTCCTACTGCTCCTCCTCTCCCTCCTCGAGCGCGCACGCGCATGCTTACAGGGCCCGGCAGAAGGGCCGGGTAGCCTCGAATCCAGGGTCGGTCACGACCAGCGTCACGTCGTGGGTGATGTACTGGGTGCGCAAAGGGTACCCCTTGGACCATCTTATGTCCTCGCGCGGGAGAAAGTGGGCGATGACGGAGGAGGAGATGGAATGACTTCACACACATACACTGTTGAAGCTCAGCCCGGATTTCTTGGATCGGAGCTGGACCCTCGCGCCAGGGGCGGCGCCAAGGACGCCCAGGGGGGGGATCCAGCGAAAATCCAAGAAATCTGCGCAGACCTCCAAAATAAGACGAGGAAACGGAAAAGAAAGAGAAAGAAGGAAGAGGAGACAGGAAGAAACGACACGAGGGAAGAGGGAAATGACGAGCAGCTGCAAAAGGTACCATGGTAAGGATGAGGACGGAGGGAAACGAGGAGGCCCCTTTCCTCCTCCTGGGTTCCCGCCTCCACCTCCTCCTCCTCCTCCTCCTCCTCCTCCTCCTCCTCCTCCTCCTCCTCCTCCTCCGCCACCTCCGCCACCTCCTCCTCGCTCCTCAGCCATCCTCCTTCCTTTCTCTCCCTCTCTCCCCCCAACCAATCCTGCGCACCTCCCTGCCTCCATCCATCCGTCCCTCCTCCCTCCTGCCCCCTCTTGCCCAATCCTCCTCAACCTCTCTCTCCTCCTCTCCCCATCCCCCTCTCATCATCCTCCTTCTTCTCCTCCCTCCTCCTCCTCTCCTCTCCGCCTCCTCCTCCCTCCTCCCCTCCTCCTCCCTCCTCCTTCTCCTCCTCCTCCTCTCCTCGTCCTCCTGCTCCTCCTCCTCCTTCTCCTCCTCCTCCTCCCCCGTCTCCTCCTCCTCCTCCTTCTCGTCCTCCTTCTTTTCCTCCTCCTCCTCCTTATCCTCCTCTTCCTCCTCCTCCTCCTCCTCCTCCTCCTCCTCCTCCTCCTCCTTCTCCTCCTCCTGATGATTCCCCCTCTTACTCTTCCTCCTCCCCCTCCTCCTGATTCTTCCCCCTCTCATCCCCTTCGTCCTCCTCCTCCTTCGCCTCATCCTCCTTCTGTTCCTGCTCCCTCTCCTCCTCCGCCTTGACTGACGCTGGCCATACACAAGCATCTAGGTTGTTGCGCTATTCCAGCGCACTGGGGCATCGAGATGAAACAAAATTCTGGCTAGGCCAGTGATAGCAAACTGGCTAGGCAGCGGCCCACGCAGGGGTAAGGGATTAAACTGGAAATAGATAAAATGTCCCCACTGGGAGTAAGGAGTACATCACTGAAATAATACATCAAAATTCGCCGGCCCAACGGGCCAGAGGCGTGCTAAGATCTCGAGTGACTAGTCTAGAAATTTTCTAATTTGCTTGTGTGGGGCCGCCCCTGGGGGTCCCCGAATCAAAAGTACCCGGGCTGATCCCCGGCGAACCTTTACTCGGAGATGGTGTTCCTCCTGAACGCGGCCTCGCAGGCCCCCCAGCGCGCGCCAAGAGAGCCCCAAGAGGTCCCCAAGACGGTCCAAGAGGGCTCGGAGTCACCAGACGACCAGTCCAAGACCACAAGATTGCCTCCAGACGGCACAAGAAGTCTGCAAGACACCCCAAGCACCCTCCAAGAGACCTCCCAACTGGGCCCCCAGACGCACAATTGTTTGATTTTCCATACGTTTTGAAGAAATTTGGCGTTCTCGTCTTTTCGACGTACCTGCGCTCCAAGACGGCCCAAGAGGCCCAAGATCGGCCCAACACAGCCCAAGAAGCATCCAAGAACGCCCCAAAACTGCCCCAGACCGCCCCAAGACAGCCCCAGAGGCCTCCAAGATGGCCCAAGAGGCCCCCAAGACGACTCCAAAAGCAGGCCCAGACGGGGAACCATAACGGACATTTCGAGCTGCGAGCACTGAGAGATTCCAAGCAGGCTCCTAGAGGCCCCCAAGGTGCCTCCGAGAGGCCTAAGAGACCTCCGCGAGGCCCTCAAGAGGCCCAGAAAGGTCCCTCAGAGGCTCATCTCCCAAGACCCCCAACAGGCCCCCAGAAAGCCCCAAGAGGCCCCCAAGAAGCTATCAAGAGGCCCCCGAGAGGCTTCAAAACTGCGCCCCAGAGGCTCCCGAGAGCCCCCTCGAAGAGACCCCAAGAAGCGTCCAAGAAGACTCTGACCACAACCCAGGTACGCCTCGAAACTCTGCTGGAGCTCTCTTGAGCCATCTTAGCGCCCCCTGGGGCAGTCGATCGGCCCGCTTCGATAGGGTGCGAGCCACATCTCCAGAAATCTCCTCGAGGACACTCCTGCCTGCCCCACCGTTCCCGGTGGGTACTAGCACACAACCATGCAGCCACTGTGATTCGAAATGGGCCAGCGGAATGAGCGAAGCGATTGAAGAATGCTAGACGGAGGGGGTACATCGAACAAGAACACGCACGCGCAAAGACATACCAGGGTAAACAGGCTCGCACGCTGGTGTTGATCTTGCGGTACGCTGGGCGGCCATGGTAGAGCACGAGCAGGAAGAATGATGAGAGCGCCACTCCTCCCATCCCCCGGGTTATCCTCCCGCCACCCTGAGTAGCCAAGATGCTCCAAGAAAAACGGGACAGGCGACAAGTACGGATAGCGGCAGGAAGCGATGGCAGGCGGTGTGGCCGAGGAACGTTTGTGGGCAGCAACGTAGGAATGCATGAGGAAGACAGGAGGAAGGATGATGCAATGCTGCGGTGGTGCTGAACATACTGCCTCTGACGGCGCCAGCAAGTGCAAGACGCCAGTCCACAATAACAGGGCCGGTGGCCCACCCCCTGCTAAAGGCCAGCATGGCCTTTGTAACAAAGCGTGACATTGGCAAATGGGTTATGAGAGGTTGTTGGGAATGTCCGGCGGTTGTAGTCCAGTCTCCTTGTTTCTGGGAAATCGGGCTAGCGCAAAGCAGCCTGGCGGGGAGATGCTGATGAAATAGGCTGCCCCAATGTCGGCGGGCCGGGTACTCTGATGTGGAATGACATTTGGACACGCATTCTGAAATAAAGTAGCTCAAGATTGCATATACAGGGCCAACTCCCTGCTGATCAGGGGGGCGATAAGGTCGCTGCTTCCCTCCCGTCTCCCCTTGATTGTCCCAAATCCACCCCAAACCCAATACCCTGACTCCTTAAAGGATAGTCAGGCTTGTGCCGAGGCAGGCTGGCATTAAAAATGCGGATTAAAGATAGACTTGCCCTGTATCGACTGGCCTGGTACTGGTCAATTTCCTCCCCGCAATAAACAATGTGACAGGTAATCTAATGATGTTATGCTTTCTTCTTTTTCAAACCCCCTTCTTCCTCTTCGGGGATGGGTTGATCACTGTTCCCCATTCACAAGCACCCCCTCCACCGCCCGGCCAGCAGCCAACCCGGAACCATGCGCACACCATGACGGCCCACCCCCACCATCCCTGTCAAAAATTACCCTGGCGACGTACCCAACCCCTGCGCAATGCGGGGCATGAGTAGCTTGGGAGACGTTATACGGAGGTGATGACGTGAAATGGGCGCATATACTTCTGCGAGCGGCATTCGTGAGGCTCGCAACCCGCCAAGAATGGCGAGGTCCCGCTCAGATCTGCGCGGTGCCTCATGCCGCAGGACCCACCAGCAGCCCTCGAAAGTGGCGATACTTTCGCAGATCGCAGCACCCCAGGGACGGCGAGGTCCCGCTCAGGTCCGCGCGGTGCCTCACTCCGCAGGACCCACCAACAGCCCTCGAAGGCGGCGACAGTTTCGCAAATCGCATCCCCCCAGGGACGGCGAGGTCCCGCTCAGGTCCGCGCGGTGCCTCACTCCGCAGGACCCACCAGCAGTTTTCAAAAGTGCCGACAGTTTCGCAGATCGCACCTCCCCAGGGACGGCGAGGTCCCGCTCAGGTCCGCGCGGTGCCTCACTCCGCAGGACCCACCAGCAGCCCTCGAAAGTGGCGACCGTTTCGCAGATCGCAGCCCCCCAGGGACGGCGAGGTCCCGCTCAGGTCCGCGCGGCGCCTCACTCCGCAGGACCCACCAGCAGCCCTCGAAAGTGGCGACAGTTTCGCAGATCGCAGCCCCCCAGGGACGGCGAGGGCCCGCTCATGTCCGCGCGGCCCTCACTGCGCTGGGCCCCCCAGCAGGCCTCGAAAGTGGCGATGGTTTCGCAGATCGCAGCCCAGCAAGGGACGGCGAGGTCCCGCTCAGGTCCGCGCGGTGCCTCACTCCGCTGGACCCACCAGCAGCCCTCGAAAGTGGCGACAGTTTCGCAGGTCGCAGACCCCCAGGGACGGCGACCACAGGGGGGGGTGGGAGAAGGGGCTAAATGCACACAAAAGGTACCGCATGCAAGATGCACGGCCGCTTCCTCCTGACCCGCAGCCCCTCCGGCCCAAGAATACGGAGGTCCATTGTAGATCCGCGTAGCGCGTCACTGCGTTGGGCCCCCCAGCAAGCCTCGAAAGTGGCGACAGTTTCACAGATCGCAGCCCCCCAGGGATGGCGAGGTCTAATTTGAATCTGCGTGTGGCGTCACTGTGCTGGGCCCTCCAGCAGGCCTCGAAAGTGGCGACAGTTTCACCGGCCGCAGCCCCCCAGGGATGGCGAGGTCTAATTTGAATCCGCCCGTGGCGTCACTGCGCTGGGCCCCCCAGCAGGCCCCGAAAGTGGCGACAGCTTCACAGATCGCAGCCCCCCAGGGATGGCGAGGTCTAGTTTGAATCTGCGTGTGGCGTCACTGTGCTGGGCCCCCCCAGCACGCCTCGAAAGTGGCGACAGTTTCACACATCGCAGCCCCCCAGGGATGGCGAGGTCTAATTTGAATCTGCGTGTGGCGTCACTGCGTTGGGCCCCCCAGCAAGCCTCGAAAGTGGCGACAGTTTCACAGATCACAGCCCCCCGGGCATGGCGAGGTCTAACTTGAATCTGCGTGTGGCGTCACTGTGCTAGGCCCCCCAGCAGGCCTCGAGAGTGGCAACAGTTTCACCGACCGCAGCCCCCCAGGGATGGCGAGGTCTAGTTTGAATCTGCGTGTGGCGTCACTGTGCTGGGCCCACCAGCAGCCCTCGAAAGTGGCGACAGTTTCGCAGATCGCAGCCCCCCAGGGATGGCGAGGTCTAGTTTGAATCTGCGTGTAGCGTCAC